AAAAAAAAAAAATTCTTTAAAGAAAAAAAATAGCAAAATTTGTCTGTATGCAATTTATAATTATTTCTTATTTGTTCATTTGTACCTTCAGTATAGTTATAAATCTGAGTATTCAATATTGAAACTTTTCCAAGTCACTAGTGGGGTAAAGGGTGCTGCATAAAATGTTTTATTCTTTATTATGACAATTTCCAATATTTAAAATAGAGAAAAAACTTTAGGGAATCCCCGTGTAAGCATCCAGCTTCAATAACTACCAGCTAATGGCCAATATCACTTATATCCCCAACCACTGCCCTCCCCTCTCCATCCCTCCTTCACTGAATCAACTGCAGACATCATTTCATCTCAATATTTTAGTAAGCAAATTTACAAAAAACATAAATATCAAAATTCTATTTTTGTGATGGCCTAAATTGAGCTTTGCGTTGTGTTTTATTTATTTTGATACAGAGTCTCACTCTGTTCCCCTGGGTAGAGTGCTGTGGCATCATCATAACTCATAGCAAACTCAGACTCTTGGGCTCAAGAGATTCTCTTGCCTTAGCCTCTTGAGTAGCTGGGAATATGAGCGTGCACCATCACAACCAGCTAGTTTTTTATTCTTTTTTTAGAGACAAAGTCTTACTTTGTCTCCCTTGGTAGAGTGCTATGGCATTACAGCTCATGGCAACCTCCAACTCTTGGGCTTAGGCGATTCTGTTGCTTCAGCCTCCCAAGTAGCTGGGACTACAGGCGCAGGCCACAACACCCGGCTATTCGCCCAGCTATTTTTTGTTGCAGTTTGGCCAGGGCCAGGTTCAAACCTGCCACCCTCTGTTTATGGGGCTGGCGCCCTACCCATTGAGCCACAGGCACTGCCCTAGTTTTTCTATTCTTAGTAGACACAGAGTCTTGCTTTGTTCACGCTGGTCCTGAACTCCTGAGCTCAAGCAATCCATTTGCCTCAGGCTCCCAGAGTGCTTGGATTAAGCATGACCCACTGCTCATTAGGCTTACTTTTGATGGGTGGTTACTAAGTAGAGGCCAATAGTTTCTCTTCATGGCTATGTTCATGCTTTGGTCCTTCTCTCTTCAGATTAGCTAGAAGATAGAATCCTCAGGACAACTGCAACATGTCAGTTCAGAGAAGCAGTACAGAACTGAATTTGTTGTAATCCAAGATTCCAGGTTCAAATATATTTTGGTTTCTTCAGCCAGATAAAGTTGTTATTTCTGTATTCCCGTCAGACTAAAAACAGCACAATTTAACATCCTGTTGTCATGTTCCCTATTTAACTCTCTGAATTTTCTACTTTAATCTCTATACCACCAAATCATTATCCCAAGTGATGAAATTTGCAATCACTATACATGTAGGAATATCAAAATAAATCATTCTTCAGGAATCAGTAGTGCCATGCAAAAGTAAAAAATAATCACAACAAATTTTTTGTAGATGAACGAGATTATCCAGAACAGACTTAAGTTGTGAAACAACTGAAATGTTGAACATTATATTTCCTTAGTGAGAGGCACAATAAAATTAATATGGTTCCCAAGAATAATT